ATGAAGTCATTTAGTAAAATAAATGATTTCTTTTGATTACATAATGATTGCATATGTAATTATCAAATTTCTAGTAATTACAAATGATTTTATTTGATTAGAAACACATGATCGATTGCTAATTTGTTTTAAATAAAATAATTATAAGCTGTCGAGAGTCTCGAAATCAGTATGAAATTCTGACGAAATCCTCATGTAATCGTTTTGTAATCAGATTTCGTAAAGATTTTATAATGATTTCGGGAACACTGTCCCACGATTTCATTAAGTGGTTACCCCCTCGGTTTTTTTTTATAATTCTCAATCAAAAAGCTGATTTGCAAATGTAAAGGTGTTGTGAATTTGATTTGAGCCAAATAAAGACTCAATGTTTGTAAGTGCTATTGGAAATTGTTTTATTTTATGATTCTTAATCAGAAAGCCTGATTCATTTATACAACGCGTATTGGTCGATTGAAAGTGATTCAAAAGAACCACAATACAAATTTCATTTTTTTAAATCTGTCAGAATGCGTTGTGAGTGTTTTTTGAAAGAGCCACGACACGAATTTTTCATTGTGGTTAAATCTCAAAAGCCAGAAGCGTTGTGGTCGGTTCTTTCGTTCTGTGAGCATTTTTGGTCTTTGAGCCTAACATATATATTGATTGTTGATAGGTACATCTACAATGAGCAATAATTCAAGTACTGATGACACCTTGATTATCGGCATCGTCGGCAGTGTAGTGGCATTTATCGCGATCATTATCATTACGATTTGCATCTGCCGATTACGTTGGAGCAACCAAATGCAAGAAGCAAGAATTGCAGCGATGGCAGCATCTAGCATTCACGAGGCATCAATGATCAGGCCAACAAGTGCTTACTCGAGCAAAATCAATCCTCACGATCTTTATATAAGTTCTTACAATGGTTCGACTCTAGGACGCGGCGGTAATAATTCGATCCCACCGGCCACTCCTGTGCAAATGATGCCTTATGTGCAACCGATACATATGATGCACGCTATGAGCCCATCTCCGCCATCTTCACAGCAAATTTATGGATATTATGATAATTCATCTCTCCCCATATACGTAACGGAAAATAAATTGGACAGATAACATAGTTTAACAAAATGCAATTTAAAAATAACTGTTTTCAAATCCAAGAGAAAGAATATTTTTATTATGCTGTATACAATTTCTACTTATATGCTAATTAATATGTTACATGTACAGTCTATTAAGTAAGAGCGTGGTCGCGTTAATTTATAAAAAAATTTATTTAAAAAAATTTTTAAACATATATATACGTTCTACTTAATAAGGACTTCGATACACCTCAATAATGCATCCAGTCATCACCGGCGTCGATAATCGCTTGGCATCTTCGAGGCATACTTTCAATTAAATTGACGGCGTATTCTAGCGGCAAGGCTCTCCAAATTCAACGAATCTCGCGAGATAACTGTTTTAGTGTATATGTACGTTTTCCTTGAAGTTCATTCTTGATATATGCCCACATTTTCGATCGGATTGGCATCGAGTGACGGCGACGGTCAATCCAATGTAATGATGCCAGATTGCTCCTTCCATTCGGTACAAAGCTTGCTGCGGTATTTAGGATCCTCCGTTATCTTCCTGCAGAATCCAGTTCTCATTTTTATTGATAAACCAATGTTCGGCAGACGGTAATAAAGTCTTTTCGTAGATTTCCAGCATTTTCTTGGCATTCAGATTATAAGTAAAAGTACAGATGCAAAATGCCGAATCCTTTCTTTGAAAAGCAGCTCTAAAGATGCACTTTTATTCCGTGTTTAACGGTTCGCTCGACATGCCTGTTGGTGGAAGTTGATCAAGTTTGTTTGAAGCTTTATCAATTGTCAGTAAATTCGTCAGTAAAAATTACATTACTAAAATCTCGATTAATGTTCTCGTGCGCCCAAGCGAGTCGCTTTTTCACATGTTTCTCACTCAACAAAGGTTTTTTTTTATTGTACTACGGCATTTCATGTCATGAGCATAGAGATGAGTTCGAATAGTTACGTGCAATATATCTAATCCTTTTTGCTTCAACTTTGCTTGTCCTTGACGCAGTATTAGGCCAGGATTACGCAAAAACAATTTTATGATCATTTTATTGTCTTTTTTCTTCAATTTTCCTATCAATCCACATTCCGGTAAATCATCGACATTTTTTGTGGTCTTATATCTCTCAACCCACTTCTGCACGAATTGTTTCGATTTCCCCATATATTTAGCAGCTGTTGATTGCGACATTTTCGGACTTTTCGGGTGGTTGCACAGAAACACAGCCTCGTAGCGCGTGGCGTATTTGGCGCTTAACATGTTTTGTTTACAAAAGATCAACAATAACTGAATCATTCTTCAAAGTGCATCGAAGACAAAGATGCCCTCTATCAGCTCACAAAAAATTTAGAGCAATACTTTTACTAGTTGTGAATAAGGTCGACCACGTTCTTACTTAACAGACTGTATAATAATTTTAAAAAATAAGAAGAAAATTGTAAAAAAGTGTAATGTACTTTATCATATAAATTATAATGTGTTAGAAATATTATATTTTATTCAAAATTAATTATATTGTTAAAATTTTTTCACTTTAAAAAAAATTTTGTTACGAAAATTAAAATTAACAAGATGAGAGTTGCGTTTAAATTGATTACACTGCAAACAAATTGAAATTTAAACCATTTAAGAACATAAGTATTTTAATAAAAACGCCAAATATTTTCACCTGTATTGAAATAAAATATAAGAGTTTTCATAAAATTAAACATAAAAATAATGTTAAGTTTGAAAAATATAGCATTATAGTTCTCAAATCCAGAATAGTTAAAGAAATCAATATAATGTATATAAAAATTTTTAAAAATCATAAATTGTTTTAAAATTTTACAAATATTTGAAATTGTTCAAGTCACTAAATTCATTAAGATTATAGATATCTAATCTAGCAAGCTGATATTGCCATGTTAACGTCAAAATGTCATCAAAACATCGTTATTGAATTTATTCATCAGAGATGAAGCATAAATAAATCATACCTCTTTATTTTGAAAAGATAAGGAATTATATGCGTATATAGAATATAAAAATAGAAGTTTAAAATTTTAAAAGAAATTAAAATGTTAAAAATGTATACTCACATGAAGAAATATAAAAATACACTATATAAAATATTAGAATCTTCTATTAATATTCTATGTTTGCATATTGATTATTTTTGCTAATATTATATGTTAAAACATAATTTTTTTATTTTAATTAAATGCATGTTAAATGAAAAATAGAAGATTTGTTAAATCTATTTTACTATTTAAGCGTACTAAAAATATGTCATAGATATAATTAAAAGTGTTTACATTTAAAAACATTCAGTAAACAGAAAATTTACTAATACTTTATTTATTAATAAAGTTTATATAGTAATCAACCTAGAAATCTGAACACTCGATGTATTTAACTTTTAAAATAAAATTGTCATTCTTATTATTTTGCATATGACATCAATTTCTTCTGCCAAATTTCCATAAATATATTAGCGTCAAGATAAGTTAAAAAAATAATTTTTCAATAAAATGTAAAGAAGGCGTATTATGACTATTATATAAAATCGATTATTGAAATTTATTATAAAAAAGACAAAATAATATTGTTTTAATTATACACAGTCTTATATTGTTTAAATTTTGTTAAAAAATAATAATATAAATTATAAGAAATTGTACTATTAGTAAGGAAACACATTCAAGAATTGATTCAATTTTGATAAGCATTTTGAATTTTTTATATTATTACAAATATACAAAGCTCAACAAATATTAAAATTGAGGAAAGATACTTGTTTGTGTTATCTTGTAATAATAACGAATTATGTACAATATTGTTTACATTAAATTTTTTACATTATTGTGTTTTAATATTTAATATGTTACTCAACATTTTTGTAAATGGGCTATTATCGTACAAAATACAATAATTATATTATATTTTAATTATGTTTTATATATTTTATTATATCTTTATTAGTTATTAAAACATAATAATGTAAAGTTTCAAATTATATACATATACATATTGCGTATAATATTTTTATCATTAGTGGCGTAACTTTTATGTAACAATATTTTTATTCGAGAAACAAATTTTAACAAAAATAATTATCATAACTAAAATAACTAAAACATTATTGTTCAAATTTAAATGTGAAATCTGCTTTACACATTTAAATTATACCATGCGACACAAAGAAGGTACTATTTAAAGATAAATAATAACCAACTGCATATACAAAGCAAACTTAATATTTTAGAGAGAAAACTTTATTTCAATATATAGGAAACGAGAATAAAATAAAAGAAAAAATATTACATAATTCACATA